TTTTTTTATCAGTGTATTCTTTAGAAGCACTTAGTACTTCTTTGATCATAGTTACCACTACATTTTTTAGTTCTGAAATTATTTCTGATCTGATTTCTTCTATACATTTCTGCAGTTGTTTCTTTACTGTCAACGCTATTATTTCAGAGATATCTGGTGTTGGACTTGGGGCCTGAGACTGTATTTTGTTCCTTCTCTTTGTCATTTTGTATACCACTGTCTTCTGACCTTTGGTGTAGAGCTTAGAGTTATTACCTCAGCACCAGGTCCAGATCTACGAAGTTCAGATTCCTCCAGGTGGGTGTTGCTTGGATCTGGCTGGGGTCTGGCTGCTGTGCTCCACTTCTTTCTGCTGCAGTGGTTGGAGTTGAACCCCTTTGTGTCACTCTGGCAAGATGTTCTGCTCCTGAATCAGCTGGGTGGGTGTTGCCTCTAGCCTCTTTGCAGGGAGATCTGCTGAAGGGTTCCATGCTGGGCCTGCACTCTGGGTCGAATGAGGATCCACGAGCTTGGGCGTTCTCACTCACTCGCTGGGCCTGCGCTCCTGGTCTGTTCAGGATCCGCGGGCCCGAGGCAGTCTCCTCCCTGTGTATTTTTAGAACACCACCTCCTTCCTCCTTCCACCTAACATTTCCCTTAGCGTGGCTTACTAATCCTTGTTTCAACCTGTGATTGAATGTGTAAAATAAGTGGCTTGGCTTATTCAAGTCCCTCACTCCTGTATGTCATCAAGATTGTAGCAGACTACCAACCTAAGCACAAGGCTAAAAGATAACACCCTCTCCTTTCAAGTTGCTTGAACGTGGAATGCTACCTAATTAATTGCTTCGAGTTAAACATGATTGGTGTAGAGTACATAAACTAATTGGAAAAAATTTGTTTTGCTTTTTGGGCTGTAAGTCTCCATTTAGACTAGGTAGTAAGCTTTTTCTGTCAGATGGCTCTATAAGCCAAAATGCCTGCCCTGTTTACTCCTGCAGTGCAGAAGAAGACAGTAGGTAAAGGAGTGGGGGAGTGGCTTTGCCCTAATAACATTTTATGAAGATGTACTTTAGAGTTTGTTTCATGTGACATGATAATTAGGCTGAAACTGGGTAGTGGTGCCTCGCATTATGTATACTCAGCCTAATTAGCAGTGGCGATGGGGGCTTTTGCTTCCAGTCTGGGACGCACAGCTGTGGCCGGCCGTGCACCTTGCTGGGGGGCTGTTGTGCAGCTTGGGCTGGGAGATGCGAAGGACAGTTCCCGCCTGTGCTTTCACTCCCGGGGGAGGTTCCCCGTCTCAGACTAAAAGCTAAAAGCGGTGACTTGTTAACAAGAAGAATACTGTGGTTTCCATGCCGTGTGCGCCAAAGGGACAGCTAAGGTGCCTCTCAAGTTTACAAGGTACCTGCAGCACCCTTGTGCAGTCTGAGAAGTAATCTTTCCTGACCTTTACGTCACCTTTCATCAGTTACACAATGTTTTTTTTTAAAGACTGAAAAGTACACACTTGTTCTTGCTAAACTTCTGAAACACAAAATGTACACATTGAGACAAATACCCGTTATCTGTAGTAAGCTGCTTTCCTTATGACAAATGGCCTCCTGGGCCCCATGTGATCTCTACAAATACTCTGCTTAACATACACATCCGTGCTGTCCGGCACAGTGGATGTTCTACGCTTTCATGCCTGGTCTTCTAACAAATAATGTCAGGAAACCACTTCCATCTCACTTTCCAAAAATCATGTAAACCAGACATTGGAAACAGTTAGGCTTGACGAGCTTCTCCTTAAGCACCAGCTTTATTAATGAGAAGTTCTGGACGCTCACATGCCACTGTTGCCAGATTCAGGCGACTAGAAGGACGCAGCATGCTGCCTCACACTCCTTTCCCAAACGGGCTGGATTATATCTATTTGATTTATGCACTGTGACTTTTTCCTGCTGTTTTCTATCAACCTTAATTGTGAAAAATGGTGCTACGTTGCCCTCTTGATATACTTTTGGAGATCAGTTAGGTCTTAAAGCATCCAGATGCTCACAGCTACACATAACTGCAGAATTAGCTCACTGAGGTCTGCTCAGCAATATTTTTAATTGACTTGCATGTTCTGTGGGAACAGGAGACTCGCCAAACGTCTTCGCAGTGGCGTTCCCCTCCTCCCTGGGCGTTCTCAGGGCCTGGATGGCTGCTCCAGTTACCGGAGCATCAGCAACTCCGGTGCTGAGAGCAGTGTCTGATGGACAGAGGAAGCGGCAGCGACTGAATTTCATTCTCCACGCCCTCTAAGTGACAGTGGTATCTGTGCTCCTGTGCTTTTGTAAGAAATAATTCCCATTTTCTTTTTTGCGTTGAATTTTAAGTTTTTCCAAACTTTCCTCATATTGGGTATTTCATGTCAGAAAACAAGGTTTTATTATTGCCTTTTGTGAAAACCTGCTAACTGCTATAATTTCACATCAAAAGGAATAAGATGGCACAAGTGTCTTCCAAAACCACACATGAAATGTTACCATTATTACCCAGATTATTACAATGTCCATATATGTTAACATTTATATAATGACTTTTGTGAATTCATTAATGGGGAAAGTCTGAACAAACTAAGCAGATTTATAAACTACCTTGTAGAAACTTGCCACACTAACTAGCTCAACAAAGGGCTGTTCAGAAGGCCTCGGGCTGTGATGAGCACATAAAGACAACTGAATAATCAATCACCTAGACAGGTTAAAAGATATATATTTAATAAGTTTTATAAGGCACAATTCTAGACATTAGTCCTTTAAACAGTGAAATATAATTTAGAAGGACCTTTGAGAAAACAGTGAACGTTAGACTAGCCTAGAAAACTAATAGAATCTAAGTTGTTTTACTTATATTAAAAATTATTTGAGACATAAAAGTATACAGTATTTCAGCATTTTCTGTTGTCTCTACATTACTTCCAATTGTTGCCAGTGAACAGATTAAGTTTTTAGTCCTCAAGTGTTTTAAAATTCTCACTTTCCTTTTGCAGAGGAGTCTATTAAAAGCAAAGGCCCACAAAATAATGGTGATATACAATGTATTAATTATTGTAACTGTCCTACTAACCTGTTTTGAAACTGTTTCACTATTTTTTCATTAAAATGAATAAAAAATAAAGAATTAACATGTGTACAAACCTGCCATGATAAATCGTTATGCACTAAAAGTATTAATAGAAAAGAAAAAGATTGAAGTCCCCCAGAAAGCTCCCTTGTAATGCATATTTCTTTGATAGGTCTAAATGCTACTGTTAAATCCAACAAGTCTCCTTACAACCTAAGAATGTGTTTAATACCCCCCAGTAACAAAGTAAACATTTTTCTCATGATTATACATCTTGAACTAGGGCTTTTAAATCTTCAACCTGAAGGCCACCTATTTTTTTTTTTTTCAGAACCGGGGATTGAACTCAAGACCCTGTACTTGCTAGGCAAGCGCTTATTCTACTGAGCCATCTCCCCGGCCCCAAGGCCACCTGTTAAAGATTGTGTTTTTATTAAAAATTTATGGGAAAAAAAAGTGAGAATAGGAACTTCAATTTGCCTGTTGCTCCACTTTCCCACCCATCGATGTTGCCATGCATATTTCATTGAGCTACCTTTTTTTCCTGGAGAATTCCAGAGCAAAATTTGGATATTACATCATTTCATGTGCTCATTTAAGAATAAAATATCCCCTTTATTCTCTAAGGTATGAAGCATTTGAATGTATTAATGTAAGTACATAATTAAAAAGGCATTCAATTGAAAGTGCTTTAGTGGCAGACACCAGTGATATAAATTGTTGTGCTTTACTGTTGCCTATAAAACCCCAAGAGTGAACTGGATTTGTGGTGCTGCAAAAGGAACAGATAAAAACTGAGAAAAAAGGGAGGGAACTGGGGGAAGAAAGTGACAGGAGAGAAATTAAGATGTGGTTCTGTGGGAAGAAAGTGCTTTAAGGCTGCTAGGAGTACAGAAAGAAACGGGACAGACATGCACATTGTCAGAAATTTTACCAACTGCTGAAATTCATTAGCTCTGAGGTGAAAAAAATCAGTTACTTGTTTGTAATTTAAAATGAATAACTAGGCCTGTTTTTGTTGCCTTTTGGTGACAGGAAAATTTCCAAATGTGATTGTTCACACTCACAATACGGGCCCAGATTTAGGTAAAACAAATCTGCTTCCACTTCAATGAGACTTTCCCATCTTACTTACCCACATGTGTGCAGCACAATGGGCTGAAGCAAAAAAAGGAAACACAGTCCACCTGGAGACTTCATCGAGAATAAGAAAGAGTAAAGTTTAGAGATGAAAGCATAACCGCATTTTCTCACCTGGCCCAGCATCCCTCCTGATCTCGTCCACACGCGCATGTTTACCGAAGGCCTCTGCCGTGGTCCTGCTGTTCTCCCATGGACCTGCCGGGCTCTCCTTCGGCAGCGCAGGGGTGCTAGGAGTCGAGGTGCTTGCTGTCTGTCCTGCAGTGCCGTTTACTTCTGACCCAGGACTGGGGGCCAGGAGGTGCATGTATGCTGAGGCCATTTTCTCTGTTTTTTTCTCTGAAGAGGGAAGATCAAAGGATGCCCTTCCACTTCTGTTCACTAACTCTCCGGATGGCTTTACGTGGAATGAATGTGGTTTTTCCAGCTGTCCTTCACTGTATGTTTTTCCTGAATTGATGTCATGTAATGACACTGTTCGCTCGGTATTCTGTAACAATGTAGGCTGTCCTTCATTAAAATCCACAAAAAGGAAGTGGCCGTCTTCCGGGGCTTCAGTTTTCTGACCGTCACCTGTCTCCCTCTTGTGAAACTGTCCCGCTTTCATGTCTGCATCTGGTGAAGCCTGACTCTTTCCACTGTTAACTGGAAGAGGGCAAGGGGTCTCCCTGCTTCCTAAGTGTGCCAGGCAGGCCTGAATTTGACTGCTCTGCGTGTCACTCTGACCTTCCCATAGAGTTCTCTCCCCAGAGTTGGAGTTGGGTGTCACTGACATGGGCCTCACACCAACATTATCTGAGCTTGTAAGCACTTTTGAACTCTCACCAAGAGTAGCAGATGACACGGGGTGGCTGACAACTACGTCACAGGGAAGAGCTAGTGCAGGCTTCTCTGGAGTATCCGCCCAGACTTGCTGAAGACTTAAGGCTGGATTAAAAGGCAATGGATGACACTCACTAATTTTTTTTAACATCTGAGTTTGTTTTATCTTACACTGTTTATCACTTAACCTGGCACTGCTTGAGAGCTGTAAACTGTATTTCTTACCCTGAAGAGGATGCATCTTTGCTTCTAGAGAGGAATCCAAACCTGGTTTGCTCTGGTTGGCAAATGCCCACTTGGTCCCTGGATGGGATCTGAGTTGCTCCTCAGATGGCGTGTCTTCCGAAGCATCTTTGTCCTGATCTCTGTGGTGAGCCGTCTCACGCGCAGTGCTGTCAGGTGAGGGGCTTTGATCTTTGCTGTCCAGGCAAACATCCACGTGGTGAAGGCCTGACAATTCTGTTTCTTCGAGATGCATCTCTCCTGTTTCCACTGATGTATCTTCCACTAAAAGTGGGTTACTTGGTGATTTAAGTTCTGTGTGTTCACTGTCTTCTTCCAAGTCCAGTGTGTCTTTTATTTCCATAGCAGCAGGTTTTCTGTGGTCGGTACCACTCCCAGTTTGTTGGGTGATCATGTGTTTCCCTACATGGGGTTTGCTTAGAGAGATTCCACGGTGGTCTCTGTTCTGAGATACACTTGTATCAGTTCCACTGTTGAAGCTTTTCTCAAAAGGCTGTACATCTATCAGAAGAACACAGTAAAATATTACATGCTAAAGCCTAATTGTATAGAACATACACATATCACCTGTTCTGTAAAAACTACGTCTATTTTATTAGCAAATAACTCACAAGCATAGCATCAACTTTACCTGAATACTGAGTTCCCTGTATAACAGGCGTATATTTAGACCCTACATATTCAGCTCCATCCCATTAAGTTTTTAGTTCATAACAGCAAGTGTTTGGGGTTTAAGAAGAGAAAGCACATTAGAGTATTATAAAATAGTTTCTATTTCTCTAGTTGGCATTTCCTTTTGGATACAGTACCTTGCCATTAAGTACATGATAAAAATTTATTCCAGCAGATTACAATCTAGGTCCAGTATACTCAGAAGTTAACTTTTGAGTTGAACAATGATCACTTTTTTATTCAGAACTGTAAATATTTTAAAAATACCTATTAAATATTTTCAAGTTCTGGAATAGTTATGGGCAAGACATTGATTTTATCCACCTGTTTTCTAGCAATACCAAATCTTAAGTACAGTTAATCTAGTAACGAGACAAAAAAAAAAAAAAACCTCTCTAGGACAAATGTCGGGACTCAAGTGGGCTTGGGGCCAGTCTTTCTCTCTGCAACATCTCCACCAAGTGGCTGTTTCAGCCTCGGTTTGGACAGCTTCACTCTGCACCATCTTCAGCAGTTCTCAAAGTCAGTCAGCTCAGCGGTTCCAGAGGGTCCTTTCTGGATGAGGAAAGGGCTCTCTCTGATCATCAGAAAGCCTCTGGTGAACCAGAATTCAAAGAGCCCAGGAATAAGAGACAAGAAGGATAAAGAGAAATGTTGCCTTTCCCCAAAATATTGGCTGTAAATATCAACTGTTAAAGATTAACTCGAGGAATGTGTGTTCTGTCAGGTCTAAGTGGAAAGGTTTCCAGCTATGTTACAAGGCCCTCAGTGAAGACTGCAGCTGACAGTCCCCCAAGTCCTGGACAGGGCCCAATGTGGTGCTTGGGTAGACCCTTTTGATCAGAGGAAAGCTCTATACTGCTCAGAAAATAACTCTGAGGTTACCTTCTAGGATACCTTCTTCTGTAAGCAGGCTTTCGTTCATTCCATCCTTTTCTTTGTAGTTGGTATGGGAACAGAAACCCTTACTATTTTCTTCCTTTCCGTCTCCAGAATTATATTTCTCTATGATGGCCTTTCTTGAATTTTCAGCTATCTCATCATTTTCATTATTTGTTTCTGGAACATTCTGGGATAAAATGGAAGAGATTTCGTTAATGTTAAAAAGATTCTTAAAAAACATAAAACATTTAAGCAAACTCTATTTCCATTCAGCCATTCAGCAGTTTGTTTGAAAACTGAGTGACTCAAGCTCACTTCACATACCCCATCATAAGGAAGCACAATGGACGCCTACGTTTCCTAACTTTCTAACGTGCATGCCACATTATCAGACCACACATGTGAAAGAAGAGCACAGCTGCCCCTTCAACAAGCAGGCAAATGAGTTCTGGTGGTGTTTCCATGTGTCTGGAGCAGTGTTCAGCTCCACATCCTTTCACCCCCTGCACCCCGAGTGCCAGTCACTATGAGGCGCTGAAACATACCTTGGGGGTCCCACAGGAGTGTGCAGACCAGTACATGGGTAAGAGAAGCCATGGTCAAGTGTACTCAATACAAAGCCCTGCTTTATGGAAGAGTCTCCCTACAGTCCCTCCTGCAGCAGTCAGTGACAGGTTCTTCAGAGAACACAGAGCTGAACAGCACCAGGGAGCCACAAGTGACATATAGACAGAACAAGCCACTGCTGTCCGAGAGAAGGTGGTCATCTATTCCCAGAATCAGGCGCGATCCATGTGGCTGCAATTTAGGTGCAGGGAGGGGATGTGAGGAAAGAGGAAACTGGAGGCGCCTGGGCCCAGGTCACGGAGGCCCCTGGCACCACACGAAGGAAGCTCAGCTCTGCCAGGAGCTGACCTGTTAAGCAAGGAATGGCCCACACGGCCTTAATGGGACGGTCAGCCATGGCAGTGTGAAGGACGGATGGGGTTTTGACCTCACTGATGACACCCAGCCCTGGGCAACGTTTAGATCTCAAACAGGAGACATATATAATGTCCTCCATCTACTTGTTTTTCACAAGGAGACACCAGGAGGGTGCCATGACCACATATAGTCAAACTCATGCCCAAGACTTACTGCAACAGAAATCAAAACAAAACAGGCAAAGACTTGAGGTAAAGGTGGAGGCCACCAGCCACCAGTGTCCCAGAGTCACCTCTTGATGAAGTCACGAAGTTATCAATGCCTGTGTTCTGCCGTCCACCAGGGAAGGGCCTGAGAGACCCGCTGCCAGCGTGGTCCCACAGGCACTTCCTCTGCCACACTCAGCAGACTTCGGCAAGCACAGCGGTGTCTAGAGACCACACTGTTGGTGCTAACACTCACACACCATGAGCCGCTGCTGCAGTCAGTCACGGTGAGGGCCTGCCCTAGGTCCAGTCTTCAGGTAGGTGCCCAGGCCTGCCTCATGAGACGCCTATGGCCAGCACCCGCAGGCCTGCTGTGCCTGCTTCCTGCGTGCCAACACAAGAAATTCAGGATTTCACCAATAGCCCTGTAATTAACCAGATAGCTTCACTGGTGAGTTCTACCTAACACTTACTAAAGAATACCAATTCTATACAGACTTTTCCAGGAAATACAGGAGAAAGAACAGACTCCAACTCAGCTGGACAGCTTACAAGCTGGACAATCATATACCTTATCCAAACACAGACAAATAATATAAAGGAAAAATAGGTAAAAGCTACTGATCAGAACTGCCAAGTGGGGGGGGGAGGAGGAGGAGGAGGAGGAGGAGGAGCCGCCTGGGACTCGCTGTCGCGGAGGATGGCAGCTGCCCTTTACGGGCGAACTCGGGCCTTATTTGCGCGTTGCTCCCGGCTCCAGGGCTGCTCACTCAGCTGCTGGCGCAGATCCTTCCTCCGCTGGCGCAGACTTTCTGGCTTCCGCCCCTGACCTGTGGCCTCCCCAGGGCAGATCCTTGATGCAGACTTGCCTGGGACACTGCTGTGGTCTCTAGGTCTCCTGCTGGACTTGTAGGGGGTGTTGTCATGGGCGCTAGGCCTCCTGCTGGGCTCGGGGAAGACACTGCTGTGGGGTCCAGGCCCTCAGCTGGACTCTTTGGGCCTCTAGTGTGTGGAGAGATTTCCACTGACTCTTTGGGTGAATATAAAATAATCCTATAAATTATGCATTATGTTAAATCCTTTCCTTTCTAAACCCTGACTACAGCGATGTTCTAACTTCAAAGTCTGTCCTTCCCAACAATCTTGAATTTTACCTGAAATATCTTAGCTTCCTTAAGTTTTTTCTGAACACGTAGTTCGTTGTTGTCCTTGTAACTGAATGATTTCCATTAAGTGATAAAAATACATCTTTAATTTCTCTATTAAGTTCTTCAGCCTATTATAACATTAAACCAAAATGAGCAAATATGTAAGTACATTTTGTCTGAAAACATTAATACAAGTTTTGGGAAATAGTAAAAATAAGTGCAATCACAAAATAACAATAGTTGAGCATTTAATAAATATACTTGCATACTCATACAAATTCTGTAAGGTATTTTATGCCCAATTTACAGATGAGAAAAGTGGGGCTCACGAAAGTTAACTGATCCACCCCAGATTGGCCAAGAAAACATCAGCCAAGTTTCAAATTCAGAGCTAGGGGCCACATTTCTAACTACTACATTAAAATACCTCTTGTTATGAGAGAAAATTTAAGAATTTGTCATAAAAGGCCTAGGAAAGTTACACCGGCCCATTCTGTTGCTGTGAACTGGATAGACGGCTCCTAACTGGATGCCGCGAGAAGTGCTGACCTTAAGCGTTCAGCATGAACGCAGAAGTTAGCTTGAGGTTGGATCCACGTGCTGGACTTTCACCGCCCATGAAATTTCAGGGTTTTGTTTCTTGGGGTCCTCACGCGGAGACCCTCATTAGCAGACAAGGCCCACTGGAGAGCACTATCCTCCGAGCGGAGCACTCGTGCACCCCACGGCTGGCTGGCACTCCTCGCCCGGCAGGGTGGCCCACCCCCGCCCCAGGACATCTTCTCCAGGCTCGGCTCCGGTGTTCTCCTCCACGGCGTCCTCCCCGCTCTCTGCAGTCTCAGATCGCCCGGTCACACGACGCCTTCTCCTCGGACACGGTACCCGCCCCGCGCGTTTCCCGCTCTTCCTCTGACCCTTGGCCTCCTGCTCCTGCAGACGCGGTTCCATCTTGGCACGTCTGCTGCGCCCTCGGGACGGTACTGTTTTCTCGGTTCGCAGCCAGGACAATGGCTCTCCGGGTCTCCCACCAGCTAGCATCCAGCAGCCTGGGACTGCGTGACGACTACCGCCGGCCATGCTCCTCCGGCATGCTGGAGTCCCCATGCCCGTCCTTCCCCCTCTCGATGGTGGCAGTCCCCAGGTTAGGTCCTCTTGGCCTTCAAGTCCTCTGTGCCTCTAGGGATCGCCTCATCCCTTTAACTTCAAATTTCACCTTTATACTAATAAATCTCCTCCCTGATCTCTCTCTGAAGATGAAATTCACAGTTCTAAGTGCATGGTATGCATTCCAAGGTAGACAATCTGTAGGAATCATAAATCCAACAGTTCTCACATCAAGCTAATTATCTGCAGCCATCAAATCTGCTTTGCCTCTTACATTCGTCACATCAGTTAGTGACATTCTCCTCGGAGCCACACTAATCTCAGGTACTTCTGACTCCCCTTGCCTCCTGTACTGGCTGTATATAAGCTGTCACCAACCCACCAGGTCCCCTCCCAGACGCTGCCTGCATCCAGCCCTCCCCTCTCCCCACTCCTGCCCTAGTTCACATTCTCACCAGCAATGGCTAGATCACCACAGTATTCTCACAGGTCTCCTTCCATAAAGCCATCCTCACAGAAGTTATTTTTTAAAAAACACAGAACCGCCTACCTCTCTTCATTGCTTTTAAATCCTCAGTGCCTTCTCAACGTTTACAAAGTGCAACTCCCTTAGTAAGAGACACTTCAAAATGTCAGCCTAATTTTCTAGGATCACATTCCACCTATTCTATTGTTCATTTATTTATCAACTTGCAAATGCAGTTTCGGCCTCCATAGCATATCCCATTAAAATCACAACCACACAGAATAAAACCAAAGAACCAGAAGGCCATCTGGATGGAATGGGAAAGGAAGGGGACCTTTTGTTTGGTAAAATTGTTCCTTCTTTCAGACCAAACTTGTGTCACATTTTGTCCTAAAACTCTCTAAACTCTCTCTAGCTAAATGACATTATTTCATACTTTCATAGTCCTTTGTCAGTAATATTGAAAAGCATGGCACGCTGCCATGGTTAATTCTGCACTTACGTCTCCCCTAAGAATGTGAATGCTGGGGGCCTGCCTGGTCAGTGCAAGGACCTGGGTTTGAGCACCACATGCAGTGCCAGCCCTGCACTGAGCCTGTCGCTGAAACCAGGCATAACTGGGGAAGCTGAGACAGGAGGATCACTATGAGTCTGAGATGTGTAGTGAGACCCTGTACCGAATAAATAAACATGAAAAAAAAAGAAAAAAGCAAAAGAAGTGTGAACTCCAGTTATCTGTGCACTTTGGTGTCTGAAAATCCAGTGTGTAGGTTCGTGCCGGACACACGTGTGCTCAGTAAGTGCTATGAAGTAAATCTGTCTCAAGGCTCCTTTCCCCGAGTTTCTGAACATTGCTCCGCCTTTTCATTTGTATGCATACAGTGTATATCCACAGATTATATAATGAATCAAAATACAAAGGTATAACTAACTCTCTAAGAAACTCAATGGATTTTAAGTACACCGTCTGATAATACACACTAAGTTTTATTACCATAGTACTTTCTTGAATGACCTAACATAAACAGTAGTTATAGAATTCTGGCTATTTTTGCCAGTATCTATATTTATAAACCTATCTTGACCCAATCTCAATAGCTATATGATTACTATATTGACCTTCACTCAAAAATGGTGAACAACAGAGACAGAAACAGAACTAAAGGCCGATCTGATTTCCCAATGAAGAAAATGCTGACAGACTCAAAGCAGCTTTTCTTACTGAACCATCCTGCGTGCAGTACTGTAACATCATGCAAGCGAAACGCCAGAGTGGAGATTCTAGCCTCATCACCCGCTGAGCTGCCTGTTTCCTTCTTCAGCAAGTTGTGTTCTTAGGAGAAGGCCACTACTATCGTCTCCACAGAGAAGCTGGACATCTGAGTTTCTTCATTCAACTGCTCATCTGTGTGTTGGTGTGAGAGATGTTTGGCATATTAAATTTATATCATATCTCCTTTTTTCTTTATAGTCTTGACCCTGAGAAGAGCCAGGAAGGATTGGGGTGCAGTGTAGGTTATATGCTTGTTGCTTAATGATAAATTTTACCCATAGTGATGAAGCAGCATATTTTAGCCTTCTGATATAATTAAATACAAAGTATTTTTCTTGTATTTAAGTGAAGCTTATCAAGATCATAAAAGACTCATCTTTTCTGAACTGTAAATTCAGAGATTTATGTTTAAATCCATATATTGTAATGACATGATATATGGTTTAATTAGCACAATAGTCTATAAGATAATCATGTATTTCTAAAATACATTTTCATAATTCATGACTTTCTATTGTTGTTGAGCTTTTAGGATGCAATACAAACTGATATTCTATTGATTAGAATAGTCAATTTTGTATGTATGAATCTTTAAAGTGAACTTTTATATTTCACAATTCAAGTTAACATCACTTAACTCCATATTTTATTTACATAACTGAAATTAGAATTTAATATAAAATGAACATGTGTAGTTTAAGGAAATAGCTATGTTTACAGCATATCAACTCACGATAAGATGCTAACCCAAGAGAACCCACCCGCTGCACATGTGTTCTAAATACGGCTCTTCTACAGCTCAAGGGGACTGCTGAGAAAAGCAAAACTGACCAGCCGACACCAGGACATATGTATCCTCTGTTAGTCACTTACTAAAATACAGTGCAGCAGTTTTATGAGAAAGTAAATTAGTTCTTTGTCACATATGGAGGTCACCCAACATACATTCATACATGCATGCATACATAAATGTACAAACATGTATGCGCATGTGCCTCCAAGCACAACAAATTACAGACAATTTTATTTAACACACCTCTACAGAGCACTCTTTTTCAAAAACAAGTACCAGAACAGCATCTGCCTGACTTTATCTTGTATTATTTCTGCAATATTTTCTTAGCATTTAATAGTTATTTTAAATGTCTACAGCTACTTAAGGCATTTTAATATTTTATAGTTTAATAAACCTATGTGTCTCTCCCAAGTTCATAGGGCTTTCTCATGCTCATTTTGAAGATTAAGGAACTTTTCTTCATTTTCTTTTACCTTCTCCCTTTGCAGCTCATTATCTCTTTCAAGGGTCTGCAATAAAATTAATTATCCAAAAAATAATCAATACCACATTAATGAATTTTGATGTGTTTTATGTTGCTTGGACCTTTGCTTTGAACATGCTGAAAGCACCATCCAGATCAGTGATAACGTTCCATCTCAACAATAATTTTCATAAATTAACAGAAAGGTGCTTAGAGTTTAGCCAACAGGGAATAGGGGGAGGCGGTGATAAAGAAATGGCTATAAAAGGGCATAAAAACATTGCCATTATTCAGTTTCACTGCATAAGTTTTAATGCACTGAAAAAGCAATATAAAGTGCAGCCCTGAAAAGTAGGGAATGTAGCATAATCCAGCCTAATCGTATCACACATCTTTAACTATCACAACACATTTTCCTATATCTATTTATTTTTAAAATGAACTGGTTAGAAAATCTATAAATACAATTTCCACTTCAAATTAATATATTTTAGCATAACTCAAAAATTTATACTATCAATTTTCTTCATTGAACTAATGTAACAAAATCACTAGTACACAAAACCTTTAAGAAGGAAAAATACTACCAAGTATTTTGTAAGTCTAGGGATTTAGAGTTGCTGAATCTGTGTCACCAGTGTTATTAGGTTTCTTCAATCTCTGTTCATAATACAAGAAATTATCTGTAAAAAAGTAAATAGTAGCATCTTTATTTCTACATCTCTAAAACATGTGGCCTTTTTTCTTATTTTCCTACAACTTTCACAGGGAACTACATCTCCAGGTCTTTGCTTCTGAGACAGGGTCTGTTTGCTAAGTCGTTTGGGTTGGGCTCAAACTTGTGATCCTGCTGCCTCGGCCCCTCAGGGTGCGCAGCACACAGGTGTACGCCATCACTCCTGGCACACATGGGGCATTTTAAAGTCCATTTGCTTATCATTACTAAAGCTATGAACATTCAGGGTAAAAATTTCAAGACACACAAAAGGATATAAAGAGAAAACACAAAATTATCTTTGATCATTTCTCCCTCCAAAAGTAATCGTGTTTTACAGTTTCTTCTCTAGGTAGAAGCATGTACCTGGATGTATACCAGGGTATAAAAGATGTATTTGTTTTTCTGCTTTTGGTACTGGGAGTCAAACATAGGACCTTATGCTTGCCAGGCAGGCACTGTGCTGCTGAGCTATATCCTCAGCAATTAATGGGTTTTTTAAAATTAATTTTATTCAGAAACAAATAGCAATGAGACAGTTTCAAAACAGGTTAGTAGGATAGTTACAATAATCAATACAATGCACACTGTTGTCTTCATAGTTGTTATCCATAGTACAAGACGCAGACATGATATCCTGTCCGAACACTATCACTACAAATCTTCTCATTGAGTTAAGAGAAAGTAGCTGTATAGCTATCCAAACTATTTTGTATATACAGATACAAAATGGTCCTTCATGATATCTCTCCTTTTTTTTTTTTTAGTTTTGTCAGAGATGGGTATTTCATTGCCACTTAAATATTGTAGGTACGTGAATTCAGCAAAATAATCCAATATAGTCCAGAGTCACCCAGAGAGAAAACATTCTCTCAGGCTTTCACAGAAAGCAAATTGGTGAAGCAATAGCCGTGACTCCATCCACATGGCTGACACTGACAAAGGATCTACAGACTGTGGTACAGGGTTTCAGGGTAAATCCTGAGGGGATTTGACTGACCTTGTCAGATACAAAAGTTACAGTTCTTGTTATATAGGTTTTGCTTTATCTTGGTCTTAACCATCCACCAGAAAAGTATAAAAATGATGTATAAAAAGTAAAACCATATTAATATGCTGAGCTGCAAAAGGCTCAAGTCAACAACTTCTGACATTGCCAGTCCTGCGGATGACCCACTATTATGGACTACTAGCAACTGATGGTTTTAAACTCTGATGAAACCACGTCTCATCTCATTGTTCTGTAAGCCACTTAAAAAAATATGTTCTGTATTATGTATGTGTGTGTCCATCTCATTTCAAAGGCTTCACAGTATTCAGTCTAAGGAATTCTCAATTACATCTAGAATATTAATATGCAAATACATTGTGAGGCAAAGCTATGGCAACTTCCCTAATGAAAAAACATTTTACAGCCTGCAGCAGGAAGCTCTTCCCCTACCCCATCAGAGGGTTGCAGTCTTGGGAGCCCCTCAATGAAGCCTGTTCCAATTGCCTCTTTAGGGTGATGGAAATATTTCTAAACAAGACATTGTCCCTTAGTTTACGATCATATACAATCCTAGGATGATTCCTAAATGCCCACAGTGGTGTATAATTAATAGATGTTAGTACTTTTACATACAGTATCTATTTACATTGACAACATAATGTGCTCTATGAAGACAAAGTTTGGAGAAGAAAGGGAGAACACAGCAACACAGCACAGGCTCTATTCTAGTAGTACTTCTCTGAGGGAGAAGATGGGATCTGCTACGTAGCCCAGGCTGATCTCAAGCTCAGGGTGATCCTCCTGAGCCACCCGGACCTACTGCTCTCAGTGTGCGTCACCATCCGATCACCCACATCAGGTAAAAGAGGCCAGGGCCTCTTGGTGCAGCGTGGGAAAGACACTGGGGTTGCAGTGGGCCTTCTCCTGTCCACTGCAAATGTGCCACCACAACTGTCTACTACAATACTAAATGACCAAAAGCATCAGGCTCTTAAAACACTGTATTAGATAGGCCAGTCATTTCCTCTTCTGACCTAAAGCCTATCTAAAAGAAACTGCTTCCTTCAAGAATTCTGTTTCAGCTGTTTGGAAACTTCCCACCTCGTGATCAGATTTGGACCTACTGCTTTCAGTGTGCGTCACCATCCAATCACCCACATCAGGTAAAAGGGGCCAGGGCCTCTTGGCGCAGGGTGGGAAAGACACTGAGGTTGCAGTGGGCCTTCTCCTGTCCCAAGTCTCCTGTTCCCTAGATCCTACATTATCTTCTTTCTTGGTTTACACCCTGTATTAGTTACTTTTCTTATTGCTCGGACAAAATACCCAATGCCCCAAATTAAGGAAGGAAAGGTTTATTTAGCTCACAGTTGTGGCGGTTTCAGTCCCTAAACAGCTGGCTCCAAGGCGGGGTGGTGTGGAGAGGGGCAACAGCTCAAGGCCTCAGAAGACAGCACCAGCAGCAAGAGCACAGAGTGGGCGGGGCGGGCCTCTCTTCCTCCCTACCTGCCCACACCATCCCTGCCCTCCTCTTGCTCAGGCTCAGGACATTTACAAAGTGAGGACCCTGGCCCCCTACTGAGTCAGTGAAAGTTCTAAATTTCTGAAGTTGACACAGTGTATTGACCATTACACTCCCCTTTCCTGGTAGGTCCAACTTCTGACCCACATCCCCAGACAGGCTCGATAGTTTGTGTGTCTTCTCCAACTTGCCTCCCTCCTCCCTCTCCTGTCTCAAAAGCTCACTAGGCCCCTGGACAGACCTCCTTGTGTTCTCATTTGCTGTGTTCTTGCCTTTTGGTTCTTTCTAGAAGATGACCCCAGCATTATCTCTCAACCTTTTCACTGCATTTTAATGACTACCACTACATTTATTTTAAGGGCTGTTTTATTTATGAATGTCTTTTTGTAGAGCCCTAATTCTTGCTTTGTGGATTAATAATACTTCCTTTATATTTTCTTATTTCTACATGAGGTTTTTCATTACTTTATCTGCTCGGTCTGTTTTCATAGTGGGGGCTTCCTTCAAATGCCTGGCTATACATAGCTACCTGTTCTTATCTAAGAAGGTGGCACTGAAGGGCCGGTTGGAAGTTGCCCTGTGGTGGGGCTCACTATGGATTCCAGCCTAACTATTTCACTTAGGGCTCAACTGCACAAACTACCAACTTTCCCCTTGAGGAGGTTCGTTTTCCCAGAAAAGGAATCTTGCATTTTTTCCTTCTTAGGAGCTGTAGAAAGATAGATTTGAGACAAAAGCCTCATGTCCCAAGAGAGCAGGGAGCAATAGACAGAGCCGGGGAGAGCTGCTGTCGCTCACTTGTAAATCCTGGAAAGCTGGGCTGCAAGGCTGCAGGTGCTTCTCCTGCAGGCGCCCTGTCCTTTGATCCCTTGCTTGGGATGCTGTCGGCTAGCATTTGTGTGAGCCTAGAGTTAGGCAAATGGTGGAAGTCAACAGAGATAGTAGTTTGTATCCACTTACGTAATTACACACATTCCTTAGCCTGCCTTTCGCCCTCAATAAATGTGAGATGCTTCTGAGGCTCTGGGCTCGCTTGGAGAGAGACTAATCTCAGTGAGACCTCTGAAGCTACATTCATCAGGTCTTCTCGTTTCTTTCGGCACCGACCCGAAGTATGCAACAAGGACCAAGGCTAGCCACCCTCTAAATGGGGACGATCTCATGGCCCAGTGTTTAGACTGCTCTATTTTCAATATGATACTCCCAATACTGTCCCAGTGAACTGGCTCTTCAAAAAGAGAAAAATTTTAAAAGTCTATTTTTAGTATGTCATTTTCCTTCATGTTAAATATTCCCATCAGGTCAATTTCCAGCCCATATTCTTTCACAGCCATACCACAAGCTTGCTCACTCTCCCGCAGCCAGCGCTTGCCACTGCAAGTTGTTCTGCACAATGCACACACCCCAGCTGGCTCCAAGCTGTCCCCACACACTGCATGCCTCTCAGCTGTCCCCACACTGCATGCCTCCTCAGCTGTCCCCACACAATGTATGCTCCCCCTGAGCTGTCCCCACACAATGTATGCTCCCCCTGAGCTGTCCCCACACACTGCATGCCTCCCAACTGTCCCCACACTGCATGCCTCCCAGCTGTCCCCACACACTGCATGCCCCCTCAGCTGTCCCCACACACTGCATGCCTCCCAACTCTCCCCACACTGC